TACATAGCCTTCGCTGAACCAAAACAAGCTACAAAGTAGTTGTTGTTTGATTTTGGACTTAGATGTGTTTAAGTATCGGAACGGTTAGGACGTAATCCAAAATAGTTTTAGCAATGTCGATAAGTTGGTATTTTAAACATTTTTAAACAAAATAAATAAAATACAAAACAAAACACAAAAAATCGCACCTGAATCTCAGCACTGGCATCTGTGATTGCACAGATTAGAGCAGCAGTCAGGATTAGGATTAGAACCTTCATGGTGGCGGGCTGTAGAGTAAGTAATTCAAGAGTTGTGAATGGTTAACATATGGTTAGATTAATACATGAAATTGTTGTGTATTTAAACGCACCATCAGATTTTTTCAAACAAGTGTTTTGTAAGTTTTGGTTAGATTTATTTATAAAAGAGTTGTGTAAGTTTGGGCTAGGTTTATTCGTACAAGTTTTGTGTGAATTGGCTACAGCTGTTCTTTGTCGTGAAAATTATTTTTATTAAGTTTGATAAGGTGCACACAAACACACACAATACACACATACAAACACACTTACACACACACTTGTTATGTTTGGTTAACGTATGATTAGCTTTATACTTGCAAGTGTTGTGTAAGTTAAACACACGGTTAGATTTGGATAAGTTTTGTTTAGATGTATTCATACAAGAACTGTGTGAGTCGGCTAGAGCTGTTCTTACAGCGAAACATTATTTTTATTACGTTTAAAAAGGTGCACACATGCACACACATTCATACACACACATACACACAGGCTCACGCACACAGCACACACACACATACACACACAGGCAAGTACATACACGGTCACATTATGGCTGCGACATCTCCCAATTATAATATCATTTACACAAAATTAATCAAATATCAGCTGATGCTATATGGCTAGTACATCGCCAACATAACAAACGCAAATAAAATACTTGCCGTTCCGGATTTGATATCAGCAACAATCTGGTGATCAGTTCATCAAGTTGTGATGGTTTCTACATTGAAGGCCTTCTACCTTTATATATGTTTTTTACATTGTGTTAAAAGCGCGTATATGGACATGCAAAATTGTTATAATTAAAATACGTTTTTAAGGTTCTCAATTAGATGTGAAACGGACATCAAATAGTTATTTTTATTTTTTGTAGATTCTGTACGTTGAAAATAAACGTCCTTTATTAGCAACGCTATAGTAGTTTGAGAACATCTCATGCGTATGGTTATATGTGTGAAGGTATTTCGAGTGCTTTCAACATTGCACAGTCTGCAACAGGTGTAACCCGCACCATGCGGGTAGAAATGAATAAATTGTAGTTTTACTTAGCTGCTGTGATAAGGGCAAGAGGAATGTGACGAAACCCTTAAAGATTTTGGTGAAACGAATAATTTGTTTAGGTCAACGGATCTGTTATCTACGTCGATTATCAAAATACTTATGGAAGTCAAACTGCATGGCAAACCGTTTTGGTGTGGTTCTAGTGCAAAGGTGTGGGTGTCAGTGTGTGGGTGTGTCAGTGTGTGGGTGTGTCAGTGTGTAGGTGTGTCACTGTGTAGGTGTGTCAGTGTGTGGGTGTGTCAGTGTGTGGGTGTGTCAGTGTGTGGGTGTGTCACTGTGTAGGTGTGTCAGTGTGTAGGTGTGTCACTGTGTAGGTGTGTCAGTGTGTGGGTGTGTCAGTGTGTGGGTGTGTCAGTGTGTGGGTGTGTCAGTGTGTGGGTGTGTCAGTGTGTAGGTGTGTCACTGTGTAGGTGTGTCAGTGTGTGGGTGTGTCAGTGTGTGGGTGTGTCAGTGTGTAGGTGTGTCACTGTGTAGGTGTGTCAGTGTGTGGGTGTGTCAGTGTGTGGGTGTGTCACTGTGTGGGTGTGTCAGTGTGTAGGTGTGTCAGTGTGTGGGTGTGTCACTGTGTGGGTGTGTCAGTGTGTGGGTGTGTCAGTGTGTGGGTGTGTCAGTGTGTAGGTGTGTCACTGTGTAGGTGTGTCAGTGTGTGGGTGTGTCACTGTGTAGGTGTGTCAGTGTGTGGGTGTGTCACTGTGTGGGTGTGTCACTGTGTGGGTGTGTCACTGTGTAGGTGTGTCAGTGTGTGGGTGTGTCACTGTGTGGGTGTGTCACTGTGTGGGTGTGTCACTGTGTGGGTGTGTCACTGTGTGGGTGTATCAGTGTGTGCGTGTGTCAGTGTGTGGGTGTGTCAGTGTGTGGGTGTCAATGTGTGGGTGTGTCAGTGTGTGGGTGTCACTGTGTGGGTGTGTCAGTGTGTGGGTGTGTCACTGTGTGGGTGTGTCACTGTGTGGGTGTGTCAGTGTGTGGGTGTGTCAGTGTGTGGGTGTCAATGTGTGGGTGTGTCAGTGTGTGGGTGTGTCAGTGTGTGGGTGTGTCAGTGTGTGGGTGTCAGTGTGTGGATGTCAGTGTAAAGAACCTTTACCCTAACCCCCCAACCACAAACCTACAGCTAACACTAGACCCGGCATCAATCCTCACACCAACTCAAAATCTGCATCTAACCCTAATCCCACCTATAACGGGGCGGGATGTGATTATCGGGGAGGTTGTGCCCTACCCCGCGAGGTTCAATGCGTCAGTGTGTTGATGTCAGTATGTGTCAGTGTATCTGTGTGTGTCAGTATGTAGGTATCCGTGAGTAAATATCACTGTGTAGATGTCGCTATGTAATGCATTACCATAATGATTTTAATTAAGAACTTGAAGGAAAAAAATATTGACAGTCATGTTAAAATACGCCACACTTCTACAGTTAGGATGTGAGTGATGGTCGCCTTCTGAGGTCTAGTGCGGTTAGGTGAAGGTCCTTGAGACCTAGCCAGTGCTAGACACGCTCGCTTTAATTTGTGCAGTCAAGCGTAGCCAAAGCGTCACGCGCCACTAACCACAGAGGTCGCGGGTTGCTGGTACCAATGCTATACAGTGTACGATGATATAAAGTTTACATTGTCTGTCGATGTCTACAGTACCTGACGTTTACAGTGTCTGACGATAACAACAACGTTAAACAACGACGTTTACAAAGATATTTAACAACGACGTTTACCAAGACATTTAACAACGACGTTTACAAAGACATTTAACAACGACGTTGACAAAGACATTTAACAACGACGTTTACCAAGACATTTAACAACGACGTTTACAAAGACATTTAACAACGACGTTTACCAAGACATTTAACAACGACGTTTACAAAGACATTTGACAACGACGTTTACAAAGACATTTAACAACGACGTTTACCAAGACATTTAACAACGACGTTTACAAAGACATTTAACAACGACGTTTACAAAGACATTTAACAACGACGTTTACCAAGACATTTAACAACGACGTTTACCAAGACATTTAACAACGACGTTTACCAAGACATTTAACAACGAGGTTTACAACAATGTTCACCACAACAAACCTTCACTAAACTTCTACTAGCTACTGAACTTGTTCACCAATCCTTGGACCACATGAGCACCAACAAATCCGGACAACTCCTGTGATCCTCGTTACACTGAGCAACATCGTGACATGTCAGCGTCACTCGACCCATCACCCCTTGATGTCACTCTTCCCAGATGCCACTCTACCCCTAGAAGTCCCTCTACCGAGATGTCACTCTACCCCGGATGTCATATGAAATACTGGTTACATTTTGCTCTCAACAAGTCAGTCTAACAAATTAAGATCTTGATATAAAAATAAAAAATAAAATATTATTGTAGACACAAAGGGCCCGCTATCCAGCCAAAACATGTACTAAAAGATGTTAACCCGGTTATGTCCCTTGTTACTTACACGGCAAAATCAGCTAGTAGAGTTTGGTGATACATTCGAGAGCATTAAACATCCCAGTTTTCCCAATACACGAACCCTGAGCCCCGAACCCCTCTACCCTGTGGTTCTGTCTTCAACATCCGGTTCCAGCAAGGCTGTCCAGAAGTTGGTTGCTATGGCAACAATTACCCCATTTTCCCAAATAAAGATATTCGTTTATAGACTGAATGGAAGTCGTATTTCCGTACTCAAAACAAATTAGATGTTTAAAAATAAATTAAGGGGGCGGCTACTCTCAACATCTAGAATTATTTCCCTCACCAGGTAATCCAAACACCAAACCTGTAATTAAATCATGTTTAATCAACGGATACAATGTTAAACTAATATTAGATGCGTTACACAATATAGGGCGATAGTCGGTAATTACACGAACCTAATCAATCATGTTAATTTAGTAATTACAATTTCTTGAACGAGATTTTCTTGTTTGTCATCCTAATTAGTCAAACAATCGTTAAGTGTTAAGTCAAGTCCCCCGTAATTCTTTTCCACAATTACAGTCATCATGTGAAGTAAATTGATCAATACATTTTACCTAAGTATTGTAATCTGTCCATTGATTTTTTTAACAATCAGTTGTGGTGTTCCGTCAATAAGAATCGCAGACCACTAAGAACTACGAATACTGTATCTCTATGAAATCAGTTACATATTTAAATCATGTTATTAAACTTCTTTCGAATAATAAAATATTTTGTTAAAGGACTTTATCCATCAGTCCCAGAAGTTGAAAGCTAAATCAAAAGAGAGTGGAGATATACTTGGCAGGGACAATACAATATCGTCCGTGGTACTAGGTTCTTCTAAGTAAGTTGGTCTAGAACAGCTCCAATTGATTTAGACCTTTCAGATCCAATCAAGGGGTCGTCCATTTGTCGCTACATATAAGTTCTCTTTGAGGGGGGTGTGACAACATACATTCTATAAATGAGGAATTTTGAGCAATATAATCAAATTTTTCATTTTGTAATATATTGAATTATATTCTTCATTTAAAAGTTGATAGAAGCATTTTATTAAATAATAAGGAGGAATGAACATATTTCGATATAGAAATCTAAATAAAAATTGTTTTTCACTCATTCAGATACCAACACGATCCGACCTTTACGCCGTTTGACTATTCGTGAAGAGCAGCTTCTTGCACGTCCGTGTAGAATGCCGGGGTGCATTTCTTCTTCTCTTGGTCCACTGAGCTGTCAGCTGAACGCCAACAGTTCAAACACTCTCTCGTACCCCATCACAACGACGTATCCCGTCACACCATCGTACCCCGTCACAACGACGTACCCCGCCACAACGACGGTTCCCATAAAGACGAGCTCCTACGTGGACCTGAGTGACGACTTCCGGTACTGGTTCACCTTGGTCGTGACCATCGTCACTTCCGGTGTGGTCAGCCTGCTGGGCATCGTGTCCAACGTGACGAACATCCTGGTCTTCAGGAAACAAGGTCATTGTCTGGTCATTTTTTGGTCAATGTCTGGTCTTTATCTGGTCTTTTTTTTTTCACCGTCTGTACGTTTTTGGTCATTGTTTCATTGTCTTTTTTGTGTTGTTTTATTGTCTAGTCATTTTCAGGTCATTGCCTTATCATTGTATGGTCAATGTTTAGTCATTTTAGTCATTGCCGTGTTATTTTCTGGTCATGCTTTGGTCAATATTTTAATATTTCAAAGAAACTACAGAAGGCTATAGAACAAGTAAATAGTTCTAAATTCAACATTACACAACTCATGTATGTGTCCATGTTACCTTAGCGACTGTAAAAACGTTTAGAAAAAAATAGGAGAACTATTAGCTTACATCCATCCTCCGTCTATTCCTTGTTGTATTATCTACAATCTCCATAACCCTCCAACTGTCCCCCACCCCCACTCTCCAACCATCCCCCCTAAACCTCTAACCATCCCCCCACCCTTTAACTATCCCCACCATCCACCCCCCACCAGTGGCTTATCGAGGTCGGGTGTCACCCTGTGCGGCACCTGATAGTGTCACCCCCCCCCCCCCCGTACGAAACAACATATATATATATATATATATATATATATGTATATATATATATATATATATATATATATATATATATATATATATATATATATATATATATATATATATGTATATATATATATATACATACATATATATATATATATACATACATATATGTATATATATATATATATATATATATATATATATATATATATATATATATATATATATATATATATATATATATATATATATATATATATATATATATATATATATATATATATATTGTATGAACCAAACCGTTTTCCTCAGGCATATATATTGCAACGTCGAGTTGATATAACTCCCCCCCCCCCCCCTCTCCGTCACCTCAACGGTGAGGGCTTTAAACTGTGCTCAGATAATACTAACGATTTGCATCTATATTCGGTTATAAATTCAGCTAGGCGTTTCATGCTTTCTTTATTATTAGCAGCTTTAGGTCATGGTGTCACCCCCCCCCCTCCACTCATGTCCGGATTAGTCTATTTTTTTCTTAAAAGACTATTTAATTCACTCTAATTAAGCATTTAATTAAGTGAAATTTTTCTGTATATATTTTGCTATTTTTTGCCTTGGTGTCATCCCCCTAAATGGTGTCACCCGGTACGGTCCGCTCCCCACGCTCCCCCCTGGCTACGCCATTGCCCCCCACCCTACAAACAACCCACCCCACCCCCCTAGCCCTCTAACCATCCCCCACGCTCTAACCGTCCCCCACCCCCACCCATCCCCCCACCCTCCAACCGACCCCCCACCCCCACCCTCCAACCGTCCCCCATCCTCCAAGCACCCCCCCCCCAAACCCTCTAACCATCACTACTTCTATAACTAACCTTTGAAACATTTGCCCTTGACCCTCAGGTCTCAAGGACAGCGTCAACATTTCTCTATTCGCCCTGGCCGTGGCTGGACTCTTCTGCGTGACCTTCGCCCTCTGGTCATCCATCTGTAACGTCCTGGACGTCCTTGACCCTCCAGGGTTTACCTTTGACCCCTTCAGCCTTCTAGTCATGACGTCAAGCAACCCAAAAATCATCTTTTCAAAAATCATCTGTTGGCTGACTGCTCTTATCTCGTTTCAGCGTTGTCTGTGCGTGACCTTGCCGTTCAAGGTCAAATTTTTATTCACCCCCACCTCAACCATAATACTAACCAGCTCCGTATCAGTACTCACATTTTTAAGCCACATGTCGATATATTTCTTCAAAGACCTTAAACTTGGCCTAGACCCTAACTATAACATAACCAGGATCTTTATGGTGTATATCAGGAAAGGGACCCCCAATCAGTTGTTTATTACGCTATTCTTCATCTGTCTACCAATCATCAACTTCCTCGCCATTCTCTGCTGTACTGTTATCATGATCGTGGTACTGAAGAGCGCCATAAAATGGCGGACTTCCGCTCGACTGGGATCTCAATCCAATCTCAAACAAAAACTGCTAAACACTATTCCAAAAGGACTCGAACCCAACATTGTTTCCAGCGAACCCGAACCCAACCCTACTACCCAATGCTCTAGACCCAACCCTGGAGCCGACACGAAAGAGGTTCGAACCTCCAAGCTTGTCTTGACAGTGATGATCGTTTTCATCGTCTGCAACACTCCTAGCAATGTGCTGGTCGCTGCCAGAGAAGTGGTCAGCGAGTTTCAGGAGAGTGGCCGTCTGCAGAACTTGTACTACTGCATGCAGGCTCTGGCCTTTCTCTGTGAGACCGTCAACTCTAGTGTCAACATCTTCACCTACTACGTCATGAGTTCAAAGTTCAAGGCCACCTTGTTGAGTATGGTTTAAAAAAATATTAAGACTAAGAACAAAAAATAAACAAAATTTTGTTAAAGAATCGAAACACAGAACATTTTTTTTTTTCATCCTGAAAAAGCTATGCACCCAAAACTCCATCCTTGACATCTATAACTAGACTTTTATAAATTTATTTTAATATAATTTAATGTTTTAAGCTTCAACACAACATCTCACCATAATTAAATTCAGGATCATTTAATTACCTACGTGTTGACGAAATTGTATTTTTTAAAATTATTTTCGCGTACCATAAAACTACAACAAATTTACAACCACTTACTTTGCCAATAAAACTACAACAGATTTAGAGCGACTCATTAATGGAGGCGAGCGAGTTGACGAGATTCCTTCCATAATGTTGTTGTCATGGAATAAAAACGTGTTTTTTTAGATTTAGACCGTAAAAAAAATAAAAAATAAAAACTTAAGCCTAAAATTAATTTAGAAATTTTATATTCTTAGAATAAATGCTATAAAAGTTGCAAATCCAGAGAACTTGAAAATAATTTGTTGAGTTTAAGGCTACATTTCTATTTATTTTCATCAAGCCTAAGTTATAACCGGATGTTTCACTTTCGTAAGACAAATATTGATTGGCTGTACAGTAACTTAGTGATCGATAACTATTTGTTTACAAAACTTTGCAGATCAAGTTTTTAAATAACAATGCAAATTTAAAACCCCATGACCTAGTTTTCTATTTTTAGCTTACAATGTGTACAATAAAATCTATGGCAGCCTATCCAATAGCAGGATGCCATGTTTATGTCGCCATTACACGTGAAAACCAAATTGTTTTTGCTTTTTTTTTAATTTTTATTTAGTTACCGAAAATATTATAAACATCAAATACATCCAATCTTTAGTAAAGTCCGAAAAAAACCAGACAGGCAGGATTTTATAACCATATTAATTGTAAATACGCTGTGCATGATTTTTTAATGAATTTATACACCTCTCAAATACCTTTGAGACTTTTCTCGCTGGTGTCCATTAAGTAAAACTACAACAGATTTAGAACGACTCATTATACCTGTAAAACTACAACATATTTAGAACCACTCACTAACTAAGTAAAACTACAACAGATTTAGAACCACTCATTACAACTCTAAAACTGCAACAGATTTAGAACTACTCATCAAATTTACCTTTCGCAATACTGACTGCGATATTGCTAAGTTCTAAAATTAGAAGAATGTGTCCCAGCTAGCGTAGGCGTATGTCACCTTGAAAGTTGCAGTTTAACCAAGTAAGGTTATGGTGGGGGGGGGGGGGGTGGAGAGAGAGAGAAGAGGGTGTTAAGAAATTTTATGTGATGTACGTTTCGTATTTTTCAGAAAACACATGTTAAAAGAAAAACCACATTGAATCCTGTTAGAATAGTGTGATTGTTCCCCTTGCTAGAGTCATACCGTGGACCCAGTCACAAATTGAGATGTGTAGGGTTGGTAGCTTAAATTAACGTTTGGTGCTGGGGGGATTGGGGGGGGGGGTCATAAATTGGTGTTAGGGTAAAGTTAGGGCTTGGGCTAGGGATTGGGTTAGGGCCAGCCTTGACATCAACAGTTATATATTTGATACATAACACCTGACAGCCCTTTTATTCCATTATTGACGTATTATTGGATAATCCATAATGGTATGGAGCATAAAATTATTTCTTCTGTTGGTGAAGGGAGTTTCCCTTGGTGACGTCATATTTTACATAGAAGAAAGAGGCAGATGTTAGGACTCTTGCGAGTAATCTAATCCTCCTCCTAAATCCCATGACTAATCCTAGCCCCACTCTAAACCCCATGACTAATATAATCCTCTTTTTAAACCCCATGACTAATCTAATCCTCTTTCTAAACCCCATAAGCTAATCTAATCCTCCTTCTAAACCCCATGACTAATCTAATCCTCCTTCTAAACCCCATGACTAATCTAATCCTCCTTCTAAACCCCATGACTAATCTAATCCTCCTTCTAAACCCCATGACTAATCTAATCCTCCTTCTAAACCCCATGACTAATCTAATACTCCTAAACCCCATGACTAATCTAATCCTCCTTCTAAACCCCATGACTAATCTAATACTCCTAAACCCCATGACTAATCTAATCCTCCTTCTAAACCCCATGACTAACCTAATCCTCCTTCTAAACCCCATGACTAATCTAATCCTCCTTCTAAACCCCATGACTAATCTAATCCTCCTTCTAAACCCCATGACTAATCTAATCCTCCTTCTAAACCCCATGACTAATCTAATCCTCCTTCTAAACCCCATGACTAATCTAATCCTCCTTCTAAACCCCATGACTAATCTAATCCTCCTTCTAAACCCCATGACTAATCTAATCCTCTTTCTAAACCCCTTGACTAATCTAATCCTCCTTCTTTTAACCATATGACTAATCTAATACTGCTTTAAGTTCTCTTGTGGTATATATAATTGAACACAAAAACTTATTATAAAGATACATGTATGATACTTGTATCAAGCCCCAAGCCATAGCATGATACAACTAAAAAAAACCTTGTACGCTTGTAAGATCCAAGTTTTTAATACTACACCCCTCACCCACTCCCCCCCCCACCCCCACCCCCTCCCCCACCCCCTCCTCAGTACTCGCGTGTAAGCTCGAGTCGACGTGAATTTTCCCCGCCGTTAGCACGACAGGGCTACACGGCAGTTATGACACACCTGTGTGTGAGGACAAGCCATCCCATGACCAATGTTCCCTCTAAGGACAAAGAGTGTGTGTGCAAAAATTATGTTGTGTGCGCGGTGCTAAAAATGACTTGGGCAAGTTAATATGTATTTTTAGTCTTGCAATTAAGCATAATAATGAAGGCATGCATTTTGATAAATTAATAGTATAATGTGTGTGACTTATGAAACGTATGCAATTAAATGGAGATACGAATACCATCAAAATAAATAAAAAACTAATAAAAACTTTCAGTTATACTTAGGCAACAAGTTATATGGTCGACTTACTATGTTAAAGTAAGACAGTCATATGGTAATAATGCTAATACCATAACGGTAATACAAACGCAATAGTTTAACATATGCAACATTTAATAAAGCTGACTTAAAAACAAATATTAGCTAACCTTTCAGGGGCATTTATTGCAATTTCTCGCGTCTAGCCTTGCATTGCTTCCACACCTTATATGCTTTGTTTAAATCCACATCCTCTCCAGCATTTAGATATAATTTAGTTTGCATCAGATTCTCCAAATGTGTGGCTTCAAGTCTATTTCGTGCTTGCACTTTTATTATGTTAATAAGGCTAAAACCTTGTTCGTAATCAGCACTGCATGCTTGGAAGGTACAATAATGTCACTTAACTTTGCCAGTGAGCTAAATTTTGTTATTTGTTTTGACAAATCTTGCATATTCAGACATATAATTTACAGAAACAGATTTGAGTTTTTCACTTTATCGAAATTTGAAGTCATTGTATTGGATGGTAATTAACTGATCATTTGTTGTACGTAACCCGTCTTTGTACTTTACGCACAGTTCTTTGATATCTTTGACGCCAAACACTCAAATGCATATTTTCTAAAACCTGTAGCATAAAAAAAGATGACAAAAACTGCAGTTCATCTCCTGGAAACCTAAAATTTAAATGTTCGCAGACTGATTGTATGTACTGTGTGGTTTGCCTTGTGTCGATTCTTTCGTTTAACTCACACTTTTCTTGGCTTTAATGTTCAGTGTAGTGCTGTTACGCCTGTCTCCAGAGCTAAGGCATCACTTACAGTAAGCTGAGTTATTCCACTAAAAACGGTTTTGTAGAATACAGAATTGACTGGACAAAATTTAAAATAAAGGATTAGCATTTTATGTACTGTTATGCCATCAACTATAAGCGTGTGGAATGATGCTGCTCGAAGTTCTGTCAGTATGTTCTTTACAACAACTTCGTTAATTACTTGAACAAACTCAAAGGCGTATTTCTTACTTCGCCAACTGTCTGGTATTGAAACATACTTCCCCATGTGGTTATGAATCAGTTGTACCGACCGCTTCGAGGCGTTCATCTTAATGATAAGAAGAACATTATCCGTTAGGATTCGAACTTTATCCTCGTTTTATCGCTGGCGCTCGTTTTGCTCAATTAGTTTTCCTCGCTCAATGTAAGTTTCAACCAGCAGACGTTTAAGGTCAGTTCCATGTGAGCTGTTGTACGAAATCGCAACATTTCCTACGTAAACGAGAGACAATAGTTAACGTTTACAGTAGTCAAGCGCCCATGATTCCCAGAGCTTTCCTGTGACCAATTCGTTGTTTATGTTGGTTTTGTTACAAGTAGTAGCAGCACAGAACTTACACTTCAGTCCAATCTCATCTGAATATTCGTAGATGCTTTCTAATTCAACCGAAACATTATATGATATGGCGTATCGGTTGTTACAATAACTTTGAGCCATTCCAGTTTAAACGAATCTATCGCTTTTTTTTTGTGCCACATTGTTGTACTGCTTGTTACACACATTTTTCTTTTCAACATTTTCAAATAGCACACAGTAGTGGACATTTATTCCTGATTTACCTAACCAGTCTGTGAATACTGAAACCGTTCGATCCAGGTGCACGTAATAATCCCAAGAATTGGATATATAGTATATAAATCCTTAAACCAAACAGAAAAAAAGACATCCACCTTTAGTAAAGTAGATTTTACATCTGACTTGGGTAAACCGTCTTAGTATCAGGAGGTGGGTGGTGGTTGGGAGATGGGGGAGGGCAGTGACAATAGAAAATAAAACCTTGCATGGTCAGCTAGTAGCCACAATCCCTTTCCGGTATTAGGTGTCAGTAAACCATTAAATCAAGCAGAGGGAGGGTCACCCAGACATCACATCGGTACCCGCCCCGCTCAGTTTAGAGTGAAGTCATTAACTGGACCTGTGGTATGACAACCAAGGCCACCCCCCCCCCCCCCCCCAAGTCAATGATACCCCTTGGTTTCTGTTTATGCATCAAAACACAAAGACTGTTCGTTTAACAAAACAGGCAATAAAAATGTCGCTTAATTCAAGCCACTGGCCACATTTTTTCTAGTGAATCAGGCTAGCCCGACGTTCTGATAATCTGTGCGCGGGGTCAGAAAATGTCTGCGCGGCACATTTGAAAGTACTGCGCGGCCGCGCAGCCGCGCAGCTTAGAGGGAACACTGCCCATGACGTCATGTGACACATTTGATTGATGCTCCGGGCATCACGTGTCCTAGTGGCAACAATCCTGCTGGTGATTGTGTCCATTCAGGGAAGCTAACAATTTTACAGGGTCACGCTATTGTGGTATAACGCTACACGGTTTTGTAAGCTAACACGGTATTAGAACACCATACAGTAGTCTATACAGTGTTAGAGGGCCAAATGGCCATGGTGTTATAAGGCCACCCAGTGTTATAAGACCAGTGTTATAAGGCCACACAATGTTATAAGGCGAGTATTATAAGGCCACCCATTGTTATAAGGCCACACAATGTTATAAGGCCACACAATGTTATAAGGCCAGCCATTGTTATAAGGCCACACAATGTTATAAGGCCAGCTATTGTTATAAGGCCACACAATGTTATAAGGCCACCCAGTGTTATAAGGCCACCCAGTGTTATAAGGCCACACAATGTTATAAGGCCACACAATGTTATAAGGCCACACAATGTTATAAGGCCACACAATGTTATAAGGCCACACAGGCCACCCATTGTTATAAGGCCAGCCATTGTTATAAGGCCACACAATGTTATAAGGTCACACAATGTTATAAGGCCACACAATGTTATAAGGCCACAAAACGTTTTACGGCCAAAGAATGACATACGGCCACGATATGTTTTACTAAGCCAATTAATTAACCACATTGTATTATAAGACCAAACAGTTTTTTAAGGCCACTAGGCCTAGCGCGTAAAAGACAACATAGTAACTGTCATAGATTCCACAATACAGTGTTACGTGTCACTAGACTAGAATGGCTGTCTAAATTACATTACGTTCCACACCACTTGGTAATGTTATCTTGTAATTTTGAGACATCCAACCGACCTTTGATATCGATCTATCGATTTTTGGTCATGTTTTTAAAACTACCAGACCGTAGCTAGATAGTGTATGTTTGAAACACATTGGGTGTGTCTACAATGTATGGACTGCTCTGCTGACACACTTGGATGTGTTGGACTGAGACGTGTGTTACTCGCGCTAAATATAGGTTGAGCAGATGTGGGTTGTGTGAGTGTGGTAGTAGATTGGGTTGTGTGGGTGTGGTAGTGGGTTGTGTGGGTGTGGTAGCGGGTTGTGTGGGTGTGGTAGTGGGTTGTGTGGGTGTGGTAGTGAGTTGTGTGAGTGTGGTAGTGGGTTGTGTGGGTGTGGTAGTGGGTTGTGTGGGTGTGGTAGTGGGTTGTGTGGGTGTGGTAGTAGATTGGGTTGTGTGAGTGTGGTAGTGGGTTGTGTGGGTGTGGTAGTAGATTGGGTTGTGTGGGTGTGGTAGAAGATTGGGTTGTGTGGGTGTGGTAGTGGGTTGGGTCGTGTGGGTGTGGTAGTGGGTTGTGTGAGTGTGGTAGTAGATTGGGTTGTGTGGGTGTGGTAGTGGGTTGTGTTAGTGTAGTGGTAGATTGGGTTGTGTGGGTGTGGTAGTGGGTTGTGTGAGTGTGGTAGTAGATTGGGTTGTGTGGGTGTGGTAGTGGGTTGTGTGGTGTGGTAGTGGGTTGTGTGGGTGTGGTAGTAGATTGGGTTGTATGGGTGTGGTAGTAGATTGGGTTGTGTGGGTGTGGTAGTGGGTTGTGTGGGTGTGGTAGTGGGTTGTGTGGGTGTGGTAGTGGGTTGTGTGGGTGTGGTAGTAGATTGGGTTGTGTGAGTGTGGTAGTGGGTTGTGTGGGTGTGGTAGTAGATTGGGTTGTGTGGGTGTGGTAGAAGATTGGGTTGTGTGGGTGTGGTAGTGGGTTGGGTCGTGTGGGTGTGGTAGTGGGTTGTGTGAGTGTGGTAGTAGATTGGGTTGTGTGGGTGTGGTAGTGGGTTGTGTTAGTGTAGTGGTAGATTGGGTTGTGTGGGTGTGGTAGTGGGTTGTGTGAGTGTGGTAGTAGATTGGGTTGTGTGGGTGTGGTAGTGGGTTGTGTGGGTGTGGTAGTAGATTGGGTTGTGTGGGTGTGGTAGTAGATTGGGTTGTGTGGGTGTGGTAGTAGGTTGGGTTGTGTGGGTGTGGTAGTGGGTTGTGTGGGTGTGGTAGTAGATTGGGTTGTGTGGGTGTGGTAGTGGGTTGGGTTGTGTGGGTGTGGTAGTGGGTTGGGTGTGGGTGGTTGTGGGTGTGGTAGTGGTTGTGTGAATGTGGTAGTAGATGGGGTATTGTGTGTGTGGTAGTGGGTTGTGTGGGTGTGGTAGTAGATTGGGTTGTTTGGGTGTAGTGGTGGGTTGTGTGGGTGTGGTAGTAGGTTGGGTTGTGTGGGTGTAGTAGTAGATTGGGTTGTGTGGGTGTGGTAGTAGTTGTGTGGGTGTAGTAGTAAATCGGGTTGTGTGGGTGTGGTAGTAGATCGGGTTGTGTTGGTGTGGTAGTAGATTGGGTTGTGTGGGTGTGGTAGTAGATTGGGTTGTGTGGGTGGTGGTAGTAGGTTGTGTGGGTGTAGTAGTAGATTGGGTTGTGTGGGTGTGGTAGTAGGTTGTGTGGGTGTAGTAGTAGATTGGGTTGTGTGGGTGTGGTAGTAGGTTGTGTGGGTGTAGTAGTAGATTGGGTTGTTTGGGTGTAGTGGTGGGTTGTGTGGATGTGGTAGTGGGTTGTGTGGGTGTGGTAGTAGATTGGGTTGTTTGGGTGTAGTGGTGGGTTGTGTGGATGTGGTAGTGGGTTGTGTGGGTGTGGTAGTAGATTGGTTGTGTGGGTGTGGTAGTACATGTGGGTTGTGTGGGTGATCGGTAGTGGGTTGTGTGGGTGTGGTAGTGGGTTGTGTGGGTGTGGTAGTGGGTTGTGTGGGTGTGGTAGTAGGTTGGGTTGTGTGGGTGTGGTAGTAGATTGGGTTTTGTGGGTGTGGTAGTAGGTTGGGTAGTGTGGGTGTGGTAGTAGGTTGGGTGGTGTGGGTGTGGTAGTGGGTTGTGTGGGTGTGGTAGTGGGGTTGTGTGGGTGTGGTAGTAGGTTGGGTTGTGTGGGTCGTGGTAGTAGATTGGGTTGTGTGGGTGTGGTAGTGGGTTGTGTGGGTGTGGTAGTGGGTAGTGTGGGTGTGGTAGTGGGTTTGTGTGAGTGCTGGTAGTAGATTTGGTTGTGTGAGTGTGGTAGTGGGTTGTGTGGTGTGGTAGTGGGTTGGGTTGTGTGGGTGTGGTAGTAGATTGGGTTGTGTGGGTGTGGTAGTGGGTTGGGTTGTGTGGGTGTGGTAGTGGGTTGTGTGGGTGTGGTAGTGGGTTGGGTTGTGTGGGTGTGGTTGTAGATTGGTTGTGTCGCGTGTGGTATTAGATGTGGTTGTGTCGAGTGTGGTAGTAGATTGGTTGTGTGGGTGTGGTAGTAGATTGGGTTGTGTGGATATAGTAGTAGATGTGGGTTGTGTGAGTAGTAGATGTGGGTTGTGTGTGTGTTAGTGGGTTGGGTTGTGTGGGTGTTGGGGCGAGCTGGTTGTGTGGGCGGTGCACTAATATAATGTAAAACTGGTAGGATTATGTTAGGTGTTTATGTTGTGGATGTTGTTTGTAAACATAGAGTAGCGTTACCTTGGTATGAAATTTAATAATTGTCAACTTATGACCCCAGTTACGTTTGTATTGGCTGTATGATTATATAGGAAACTCAAACAATATAGTCGCTGTGACTGAATCTATGTATAAATATTAAGTACTTAAAACCACTATACATTTGTTATCAACTGTTCAATAACTGTTCTACTCTTGAGGATAAACAAATCGTAAACAACGCCCAAATGTAGGACAGGTCAAGGCCATAAAGCTGCACCGGAAAATGTTTTCTAGCGTGGAGTAGATTTCAATTTCATCATCTCACCACTGAATGCGGGAAAATCCATTTCTATTTTTAGCCCGTACCTTCGGCCGTCTCCCTGTGTCATTTTCTTTTTTTTTTCTTTTTTTTTCCCCAACACGTGTGTAGGCCCAACTCGTTTGTTGTACACAGGCCGTAGCCATTATCTCCCCTGCCGCGGGTGTAGGTTTGTTTCGACGAAAAAGCCACCGACGACTAGACTACAACAGAAGCGCGCGAGGGCTATTTTTAGCTCCTGAGTCAAGACGAGCAGTTCAGATATGTAAATCTGATTTCTTGGAAATCTTATTTTCCTGAGCAGCAGACGGTCTAGCTTTCCAGTAGCAGACGATTCGCTGTGTGTGCATACGCCTAGGTGAGTCTCTGGTTTCCTTGTAAATTTAAACTTTCTTACATTTATTAATAATCATTGTTTAATCATTAATGAAATTAGTCATTAATGACTATTTGGCACTATTTGAACACTGCAAAGGCATTGTGCACATATTCATATGTTTGTGATGTTTGTTTATAGTTTTAGCGGGGGTAGGGGGGGGGGGGGAGTAATAGGCTAAACACTGCCTTTGCTAACATTCTTTTTAACTTTATTTTTGCTATTTCGAATTTTTGGTTTAATATAGGGAAATATTTTTTTATATTAGCTTATAATTTTTTTTAATATAAGCTAAGGCTTCACAGACGTTTTTAAATAAAGATGCAACACTAAAATGCATTTCAAAATTATTATTTTTTTCACCATCAAGTGGGGATGAGTCCGACTGAGAGTATAGTGTTACATAATTTATGGGGATACAAGGAAATATGTATATAAACTGTCATACTTGTAAGTAATAGAACCCATTTGTATGGTGTAAGGCTGGTTCAATAAGACCACATTACTGTGGTATATAGTAGGTGAATGATACTTGAATAAATTATTTTACCATGTTAAAAATGTGTATGCATATAAATTACTTTTACAAGGGACTGGTGAATAAATGTAGAACTGTAGGGTTAGACGTACCATAAGCCTGTATCTCTAGTTCTAGGCTAAACGTTATATGAATAGAGCTGGTTGGTCAGATATGGCTCCAGGGCCCCCGTATTTGGCTACATGCCCAACATATGTGGCTCCTGGCCATTCTAGAGGCCCCATATGTGGCTCGAGGCCCCCTGTTGAGCCCCATGCCTAACATATGTGGCTCTAGGCCCTTGTAGGGGCCCCATATGTGGCTTCAGAGCCCCCTTAAGTGGCCCCAGGGCCCTCATTCTAGAGCCCTCCGTTATGTGGCTCCAAGGCCTTCATATGCTGCTCCAGGGCCCCCTTTTGAGGCCCAGGCCCATCACATGTGGCTCCAGGGCCCCCTATGTGGCTTCAGTGCCACCTTATGTGGCTTCAGTGTGGCTCCAGAGCCCCTCATATGTAGCTCCAGGGCCCTCATATGTACTTTTGACAGTGCCTGCCCCCCTCCCCCTCCGGAAATTTAGTAGTCGGCCCCCCGAAAATTTCAAGTGCCCCCCCCCCCTGAGAAAAAAGTCTGGAAGAAACACTGCTCGAGGCCCCTCATATGCAGTGTTTCTTCCAGACTTTTTTCACGGGGGAAACTGACCTCGAACCCTCACTGTCCTGACTTCTGTGTCATGTCGCCACAGTTTTGGGGTACCAGAGTTTCTTCCAGGCATCTACTCCCCCCCCCCCCCCCAACGAAATGGAATATATAAAGAAAATGTATAGTTTTAAGTGTTCGCCACCCCTCTGGAAATTTTAGTCCGCTCCCCCCCAAAAAAAATATTTCGTCTTCCCTTTTCTCCCCCCCCCCCGGAGCAAACAGTATGGAAGATACACTGTGGGGTACCTGATTAAAATGTCAAACCCAGCTAATAAACTTTCCCAGTCCGTCTTCGGTCCGGCCCCACTAGGGTCAACCTATGGCTACTACGCCTTACCCTATTGTCCGTAAATCTAATTCTCGTGCTTCGTTGATCGTCTGCGTCATGACCTGTTTAGACTGGTCACGTGCATTGTCAACCCTACACCTGCAATCTACGCCCCCACAGACTTCACCAAACAACAGGATAACAGAGTTTCTTCAAGCATCTTATCGGGGGGGGGGGGGGCGGAGCCGAAGAAAGTCTACTGCCTCCCCCCCCCCCCCCCCCCGAACAAAATAAAATTTATATAAAAAATATATACTTTTAACAGTGTCGTCGTCGTCGCCCCCCCCCCCCTTCCACCCCGGAAGAAAGTCTAACCCCCCCCCCCCCCCCCCCGAAAATTTCAAGTGTCCCCCCCCCCCACCCTCCGGAGAAAAAAGTCTGGAAGAAACACTGCATGATAATCGACACGGTTGGCCCAACACAAACGTAGCCTAGATGCTTGTATCTCAGCACAGAGTGTGTCAGACACAGCGTGTGTCAGGTTAGGGCAAGTGGGTCACGGCGATGTGCAGCGTGCCGAGCATCAAGGCTGAGTAAACTGAGTTGGGTGCTATTTTTAGAAACGGGCGTGGCTAAGATGTAACGGGTTGACGTCTGATACAGGTGTACAATGTAGATTACACATGTAAGCAGATCGATGGACACGCTCTGTTGCCGTCTCTCAGGACTACACCTGTCACGGTTACACCTGTCACCATTGTGTTATGACATACGTCGGATGTTTGACTTGGATTCATGGCCCAAAAAACGGTGGTTTTGGGGGGGGGGGGGGGTAATGTAACATGAAAAGAAAACGGAGACAAAGTCACAAAAGAAAGCACAAATGTAAGATTTCTAAAATTTTGGGTGTTTATAGAAATGGGGATAATTTTTTACTTTCTCGTATATACGAAGTATAGAGAAAGTCTTGTAATCGTGAAAAAAAAAATCGAGATTTTTACACCTCACTGATACGGAAAAACATATTTTTTTCAATCTAGTCCGTATGTCTGTGTGTGTGTCTGTCTGTCTGTCTGTCTGTGTGTGTGTAAACACGATAACTTGAGTACCGTTACAGCTAGGTTGATGAAATTTCATATATAAGTATTTTATAAAAATGGTAGATCCGTATCAACTTTTGAGCGATTTCCGATAACCGGAAGTGGTACTTTTTCTACTTTGAATTTTTCAAACGCCTATAACTTGAGTACTATTTTAGATAGATAAATGAAATTTCACATGTAAGTAAAAGATCTAATTCCCTACCTTCTTTGAAATTTTGAGTAATTTCCGTTGACCAGAAGTACTACTTTACGCTATTTCCGATTTCTCAAAAAACGCATGTAAATTTATTAAGTACTAATAATATTGCGCATTATTATGAACATCTTTATTTGGCGCTCACTTGGTGCGCAATTCTTTTTTAATTCTACTTATAAAAGTTGAGATTTTATTTAATTTTTAAAATTTTAAGTATTTTAAATGGATTAAAAGTAATGTCTATATCCCGAGTTGCCATTCCCTGTTGTTTCATATAAGAATATTCGAGAAAGTTTAGGGGAGATCACTCCCGGTTTTAAAAAGTCACAGTTTTTGCTAGGAAAAAAAAGTCACAGAAAAAAAAGTCACAATGGAAAAATATTATCGGAAAAAAAGTCACAGAAATAAAGTCACAGAAATAAAGTCACAGAAAAAAGTCACAAAAATCTTTTTAGAAATATTTTGATTTATTTGTTAAGAATTGTAAAATTTTGTATGTTTATTGTTATGGGTTATATTTTTAATAGCATAAATTATTTATACACGTTAAAAGCATTATAGTTTATAACAATTGTAAGTAAAAATACACAACAATCTCAACTTTTGCTACGTGTTGTTAGTTCACTTTGCAGTAGAAAAGTTAATTATAAAAGAAATTTAGGCACATCATTGTGTTTTGCATATGTTTTGCCGTAGGCTATTCTCTGGTCACAGAAACAAGTGAACTCTACTTCACTTGCCCCATAGACCGTCAGGTTTGAAAGGGAAACTTTACTTTTTTTTTTTTTTTATTCTCTGGTCGGCCTCTCCACAGTAGGCATTGTCCGAACATATTTTGTGTTGTTGACGTTTTGTGTCAATGACAGCCTTTGAACTTTGACGGCTTTCTGTTTTGATCCTAAGTTTTGTTATGTAATGAGCGTGATAAATGTGGGCAGTAAAGGTGGTTGAGCTATTGTTGCGTTGAGTTGAGGGCAGTATGTTGACTTACGGTGAGGGAATGTGCACTGCTGTTTGTTGCGCTGTTTATACCTACATCATTGATGTGAACTGTTTACCTGTATACCTATATCATTGTTGTGAACTGTTTACATGTATACCTACATCATTGATGTGAACTGTTTACCTGTATACCTACATCATTGACGTGAACTGTTTACCTGTATACCTACATCATTGATGTGAACTGTTTACCTGTATACCTACATCATTGATGTGAACTGTTTACCTGTATACCTACATCATTGATGTGAACTGTTTACCTGTATACCTACATCATTGATGTCAACTGTATACCTACATCATTGATGGGAACTGTTTACACACACACAGAGACCAAGACCCTCCAGCCTCGCAGATGATGACTTGTGGCTAGCGGAACACAATTCACAAGTTGCTCAAAAGCTTATACATACGTATGGCAAGCGGCGGTTCTTCCAACGATTATTGCTGGGGTAAGTTTACCACTTATCCGATAGATTTGAATGCACCCCACCCCTCCCCCATATATATATATATATATATATATATATATATATATATATATATATATATATATATATATATATATACGAGAGAGAGAGACAGATAGACATACTAGAGATAAGTATTTGGTAATGATTGGGCGAATCTTGGGAAAGCCTTGCAGACTTTTGTCTGTCGGTCTGTGCCCTTTTCTCCGGAATGTCTAGAGAGAAGGTCGGCATATGCCCACGTCTCTTGAAATTGTATTTGTATTGTTTTTTCTCTTCCTTACAGCGACACCCGAAGAAGCGGAACGGCATACACGGAAAATAAACGATTTCCCCCTTGACAAAGATGGTATGTAGGTCGTGTTTTTGTGAGATAGTATTTTTTTTATTGATTCATCCCAGAACTTAATTAATTGAAATAGATAGGTTGGGGGCTTTTCTTAACACATTATGCACTGTATAGACCTTTGACTACGATTTCAGCCTTCTTTTTTTCTGGATTTGCTTCGTACATAAATCTCGAACGAGATGGATTTTTGTGAATTTTCTGTTTTCTGCTTTTTCTTTTCTTGCATGAGTGTTTGTGTGCGAGCATGTGTGTTTGTGTGCTGTTGGGTGTGTGAGTGTGAACGCGCGGTTGTGTGCGTGTGTGGATGTGTATATGTATATATGTGTCTGTATGTGCGTGTGTGTATGTATGTATGTATGTGTGTTTATACAGATTACCTGGCATGTTGCAGATGTGTTCGAGAGCGAGTCGACCTATGAGGGTGACGCGGGGCTGACCAAATGTTACGAGACCTGCACCAAGAACCCAGGTCACTTTGGCTTTAAACCAATCGACGACTACACCCTACACAGCCTCCCTGAAGGGTACAGGGACCAGGATATATATGACTGCAGCAAGGCCCTGGCCGACATAACCGTCCTGGTCAAAGTATCCCACGTCAGTAATAGCAGGCCTCAATTATTTGACGCAGGTAAGGAGATTCCTTACCCTTATTATAAAGACAGGGGTCGTATGTCAACGCGAGTAGGAACAGGGCGTATCCGATATGTGACTCAGCAACAGGACGGGCCCTGCATTTGTCAGTCGTGTGAACTGTCCGGACAGCCCAAGACCACGTGGTTTAAGGTGGGCGTGGTCACAGCCACACACCTGGTGTACGACATAGAGGAGGCGAGACAGACAACTTGTACAGTGGGGTACGATAGCGACACGAGGACCTGCGCCAAATTTGATATTGAAGGCGTGGGGATCAGCGCTCACGGGAAGACGGACAAGGGCGACAGGTTCAACCTCTGCTGCGTCACCCACGACCCTCGCCTTGCCGGGAAGCTGCGCGATGGCGCGGCCCGATACAAGAACCTGACCTTGAAAGTCAGAGAAAAGTTCAAGGTCAGCGGCCCCGTCAGCAGATTGGTCATTGTGGTGTCCCACCCGCACGGAAAAGCCAAGAAGGTGTCCATCCGCCAGTGGACGGATAAGGTGACAATTACCAGCAGTGGTTACTCTATCTACACGTATGATGCCCCCACGTGCCCGGGCACCAGCGGGGCAGCGATCTACATCCCCGACAAGAAGTTCGGCTGGTGCAACCATGTCCATAGTAGCGCCAAGGATGGCCAAGGCAAGACTGGGGCTGGTTACGCGTAAGTTGATGGGGTTTATACAGAGGCGTAGCGACCCTTCCCGGCGCCCGGGGACAAACTGTCTATTTGGCGCCCCCCTCGGGAACAACCATTCAATTCTCTATTTCCACCCCCCCCCTCAAACTTTCCATTTGCACCCCCCCCCAAACTTCCCATTTGCACACCCCTCCCCTTATATTTTTTTATATCTACAATGCAAAACTGCAGCTAAAGTGATATTTTTATTTGTTTTTCCAACCCATTTTGGCGCCCCCTTAGGTCGGCGCCCGGGGACATATATACCCCCCCCCCGCCCCCACCCCCTCGCTACGCCTCTGGGTTTATATGTCTCATCGAGAGGCTTTGGATCTGATTTTGGGGGGAAAGGTGGTGGCCTTTTGTCTCTGTCAGACGTTTTGTCTGTTTGATTGGCTTTATGACTTTTTAAAATGTTTTTTTTAATGGGCATAATATCTCGTTAAAACTGGATACTGTAAAATTTTATTTTCTGTCTCTTGGTCTCACTTATCAGTTAAATTTTTAACTGTCAATTTTTTTTTAAATTTAACTTTTTTTTTTCAAAATGTCTCACTCACGGATAATTCATTTTTGTCGTTTATTACGATGGTGCGGGTTTAAACACCCCTACATTTATACTCTATGAACTCCACCCACAAATAATCTATCAAAGAACAAACTCCACCCACAAATACTCAATCAAAGAACAAACTCCACCCACAAATACTCAATCAAAGAACGAACTCCTTCCTCAAATACTCAATCAAAGAACTAACTTCTCCCAGAAATACTCAAAGAACTAACTCCACCCTCAAATACTCAATCAAAGAACAAACTCCACCCACAAATACTCAATCAAAGAACGAACTCCTTCCTCAAATACTCAATCAAAGAACTAACTTCTCCCAGAAATACTCAAAGAACTAACTCCACCCTCAAATACTCAATCAAAGAACAAACTCCACCCACAAATACTCAATCAAAGAACGAACTCCTTCCTCAAATACTCAATCAAAGAACTAACTTCTCCCAGAAATACTCAAAGAACTAACTCCACCCTCAAATACTCAATCAAAGAACAAACTCCACCCACAAATACTCAATCAAAGAACGAACTCCTCCCTCAAATACTCAATCAAAGAACGAACTCCTCCCTTAAATACTCAATCAAAGAACTAACTTCTCCCAGAAATACTCAATCAAAGAACTAACTCCACCCACAAATACTAAATGAACTCCACTCACTCGATAGCCTACACAATCAAAGAACTATTTCTTTATGTTTTTCAAGTTGCTTTTATTAGCTACCTACTCAGTTTGCGAAAACCAGGGTATTTTCTATTGTAGATATGTAAATATTAAACTGTTTGGTTAAACATTAAGCTTATTTATTTAAACATTATAATTTATGGTGTAAACATTAAACTTTTTGGTGTAAACATTATACTATTGGATGTAAACATTAAACATTTTGATGTAAACATTAAACTTTTTTATGTAAACATTAAACTTTTTGATGTAAACATTAAACATTTCGGTGTAAACATTAAACTTTTTGATGTAAACATTAAACATTTTGGTGTAAACATTATACTATTAGATGTAAACATTAAACATTTCGATGTAAACATTAAACTTTTTTATGTAAACATTAAACTTTTTTATGTAAACATTAAACATTTCGGTGTAAACATTAAACTTTTTGATGTAAACATTAAACATTTTGGTGTAAACATTAAACTTGTAAGTGTAAACATTAAACTTTTTGGTGTTAACATTAAACATTTTAGTGTAAACATTAAACTTTTTGGTGTAAACATTAAACTTTGTATGTCAACAAATTTTTTTAAAAAATTACAGTAAGTGTAAACATGAAACATTTTAGTTTTAATGTTAAAACATTACATTTAATTATAAACATTAATCTTTTGTTATAAATATGTAACTTTTTTGGTAAATATTAAACGTTTTAGTTTACACACTAAACTTTTATTCTAAGCTTTTAATTCACGTTTTCTATAATTTTATTGTAATAAACCAAATGTGGTAGTTTACTTTCTGGTTTAATAAAAAAGTAATCAAATCAGCTGTTTGTTTATCTGCCTTTTTGTGCTTTTAGTAGTGTTTGTAATAATGGTCACGCTCCTTGGGGTGAAGTTGTTTTAGGTGGGGTGGGGCGGGACATGTGGGCATGACCCCTTTTTTGGAAGCGTGAGAATGAGGAGTGGGTGTGATTCGTCCAAAAAAGTGTGACGTCATTATGTAACCTGCGAGTAGAACTCATTCATTGGGTCTAGGCTACATGTTAATTTGAACTAGAACATTATAATACATTGCTATCGACAGAAAGTCACTCTCTCAGTTAAAACCGTCACGTGATATAAATACGCTGTATAGAGGTAGCCTCGTGATCCAGTATAACATGCTCACTATAGCTCGCAGTTCACCATCTCGTATGTCGAGGTACCACCACAGTACAAAGTGAACCTCACGAGCCAGTAAAACATGGTTATCACTCGCAGTTCAACATCTCGTAAGTCGAGGTACTACCACTGTTCACAGTGAACCTCACGAACCAACATGTCTATAGCTCGCGACTCAACATGGCGCCCAGCGTGGCCTTGTAGTTGGAGCTCATTATGTAGTAGGCGATGATGTTGACGCTGGCGTTGACCGTCTCCAGCAGCAGCCCCAGGGCGTATGACGTCAGGTACAGGCGCTTCAGGCCGCCCAGGTCGTTGAACTCTGGCAACACATTCTTGGCCGCCACCAGCAGGTTGCTGGGCAGGTTGCAGACGATGAAGATGAGCATGATAGACACGATCATTTTGGAAGTCTTCGCCTCTTTCGTGTCCCTCACGTGAACTGGGGAGGTGTTTGGGGCATTCAAATGACATCTGGACTTGTCATTTGAATGACATCTGCACGTCTGGTTGTCATTTAAATGACACCTGCACGTTTGGTTGTCATTCGAATGACGTCTGGACTTGTGGCAGTTCGTTGAGGTTTTTTCTTGGGTTTTCCGAAAGTTAAATTTAGAACGATCGGGAATTCCCGTTCCTATTTGCGCGGTAAACCGCCATTTTGTTGATTTATTTAGCGAGGTTATCATGATCAGCGTGCAAAGAACCACCAGGATGAAATTGGACAAGGGGAGAACGACAAACAGCAAAACATTCGCTGTGCGGCTGGCTTTTTCTCGCGAGACTTTGAAGAAAATTTTCGTCACGTTGTTTCTCGCGTCGATGGCGATTTGAAGCTCTTGGAAGGAATACATGGACATGTAGCTTAAAACCACGGCAAGGGAAACAATAGATGTGGTCACAGCCGTGACTTTTGGCGTGATTATTTCCCTTGATTTAAAAGGCAGGACGACGCAGAGGCAGCGTTGGACGGAGATGACGGCAGTCAGCCAACATGTCAGTCTGGCAAAGATGATGCGGGGTTGGGCCGCGGTCATGACGTACAGGCTGATGGGGTCAAAGGTCAGGTACGGGGGGTCGAGCAGCTCCAGGGCGTAGCACACAGACGACCAGAAGGTGAGTACCAGACAGGCGAGGTCGGTGAAGGCGAGGGCGATTAGCAGGACGGTGACGCCGCTCTTCAGACCTGGGGAGTATAGGGAATAGTGGGGGAATACAGGGAACAGTGGGGGAGTACAGGGAACAGTGGGGGAGTACAGGGAACAGTGGGGGGGTACAGGGAACAGCGGGGGAGTACA